TGACAAATAATTTCACATTCAACGCTACACCCTTCCTTCGGGTGATAGGCAACCCACATGATCAAGATGTTTGCCTTTTGCAAAGAAGGAAAAATAATTTGTCATTAATATGGTTAACACTAAATTACATGCAACAAAACTGTATATATCCATAGAAAATATATAAAGCTAAACGTTTACCATTACTATTTCATGACCGCAAAAATTCTATTTATTTATCTTTATTTATTTATAACATTCAGGGCTTAAAACGTTTACGGGTATTTTTTTTTATCTTACACGCTACCCGCACGTTGGTATTATATTTGCAAGTCATGGCATATAAAACATATATGTTAAGTAAATAATAAAATGTTGATCATTCGATTTTAAAACCTGATAACTGAGGGTATGCTTAACTGACTTTAATGATAAGCAGTTTCTAAACAAGTCAGATTGATTTACAAGAAAAAGTGAAATTGAATTGTTGATTTGATTTATACCTAAATAAAGATAAATGATTATTTTCTAAGTATTCATATTATTAAATTCTGAAAATGAAATTGGTTAGCTATCTCTATTAGTAATCGTTGCTGCAATTTCCCAAACGTTCACATACAAACTTAAAATATTCTTTAAATGATATGCATATCCATTTGTGCATCATTATTAAATAGTATGCCAAAATTTCCGCACACAGACATACAGGTTGTTTTAATTGTGAATGAAAATGATTAAACAAAAATGTAAAGAAGCAAATGCGAACACAATAAATTTATTATAATTGTCACCGTAAACTATGTAACAGTAACACGAATGAAGAAAAACTTCTACAAATAATTGCTATTGGAGTGCACCATTTAAAAAGAAAACAATCTTTATCATTGAATTTATCATTCAATCCTCAATTCCTTAATTATGAAATGTCTTTGAAAACAACAGGTAAAATTTCTACTGTCAAATTTGGATATGGGAATAGTATTTGAGCAATAAATTTCTTGCATCTTTGCATATACAAATGTTTTGTACATATTCGTTTCAGGAAATTTCTTTAACAACAATAATCATTTTGATGCTTTTGTTGTTAAAATAGAGATCTTTGACTATGATATGGCTGTGCTTCTTACGTTAGAGCTGATTCTCGTAACATGCATTTTGATAACAGAAAAAATAGTAGTACACACACAACAAGGTAATCTATTAACTTTATACTATTTTAAGATTGGCCCGTAAGAACTTACTGCATCTAGTTGGGCATAAAAGTATGCTTTCTTTTATTTTTCAATTTAATTCATTTTCCAATAACAAGATAATATAATTGCTGTTTTCTATTATCATAAGAAGCAAAAAGAAACGATCATTTTACTAAGTGAAGAACGCCGAACATATCATTTCCGTTTTTTCAAATCTTTTTACCTATAGGCCCTGCTGATCGGTTTTTCCCAATTTTCCCTGCAAAGAAAAAAAAAGTATAGGGTTCTGCTTTCAAGCTCCTATAAAAGACAAATTTAATAAAAAATATTCATGATAAAGGTACCCCCGTAAAATAAAATAAGGGTTAATAGTGGCGCGTGCTAATGCTTGTAAAACTATAAAATGATTTTAAATGATAGATATTTTAAAAGTTATTTTATGAAAAATGTGCAGATATATTAACGTTAACGAGTTGTATTTATTTTAAACCTTTAAATGTAGCAAAAGGGTGTCCCCTTTTAACTCTAAGCAAAGGATGTCAAGGCGGGTTTGTAACTGGAAAAAAGAGTGACTTGGGGAATTTCAATGAGATAGGAAGTGTTATTTATACATTGGCAGATCATACTCATTACATATTTTTGCGGTGTCAGGAAGATGGCACCTATAACGACACAGGGTCATGTCTTAGTGTAGACAGAGCAGGTAAAAACAATTCAGTGTTCCTAAATGTGTTCCTGCTTTATGTCAACCACCTCAAGTCATTCCGCCAAATGGCAAGTATGTCTTTTCTGATGGTTCTGATTTTTTATCAAAGATAATTCAAATTGGAGACAAGCTCTTTTTTAAGTGTAAAAAAGGATATTCTTCAAAAGAAAATGATTACATTACATGTACAGAGGGAAGCAAATGGCACCATAATAAAAGTAGTGGATGCCAAATTGTGAATTGTACAAATCCAGGAGAAGTAGAAAACGGTTTTTACATGTTGGGAAATAACTATGATAATCATCCCTATACAGGATTTAATGTGTCCTATCGAACGACGATCTATGTTTCTTGTCTGGAAGGGTTTGCCATAAGTGAAAATAGCAAGTTTGAATGTAATGAAAATGGGTCTTGGTCAGGTTCAAAACCGACTTGTATTAACATCACATGTGATATTCCTCCAGAATTTGAAAATGGCAAATATCACTTAAAAAGCAACGAAATTCCAAGACATGGAATAGTTGGATATAAAGAACAAATATTGATTCGTTGCAATGAGGGTTATACACTGCGAACGAATCCACAAAGAACATGTATAGCATCAAATAAATGGACCGGGGCAACCCCTATATGTGAGGAAATATTTTGTTCTAAACCTTTACCTGCATCAGATGGGACTTATATGGATGATACAGGTAAATTACTAACGCTGAATAAGATAAAGTACAACAACACCATTACTTTTCATTGTCATAATGGATTATAATTTTAACGTCTGGGAACATTCAAAAAGGCGCTGTCATGATACTGGAATATGGAGTGGAACAAAACCAAAAATGTTCGCCTATAAGGTGTACTAAAACCAAAGAGACAGCAAATGTGGATACTATTCTTCAAACGTTACGACACTGAAGGTCCCTGTTGTAGAATTCTCGTATAACACTACACTACTTTTTGTCTGCAATAATTCCAAATATTCTTGCCTTAACAAGACACAAGAGATTAGATGTTCTAAAAATGGAGAATGGCTCGATAAAAAACATTTATGTGGTGACTATTGCAATTTTGTCAAAACATTTAATTGATAAAAAATAGATATCAGTTTTTGTAATCTTAGTAAATTTCGAAAACTTAACATATTTCATCTCTAATAATTTAGTGTGCATACTTATGATTAAAAGTTTTCTAATGATTTATATTGAATAAACATATTATCTTTTAAGATATTTTCAAAATTTATTTAAACATATCTTTTTAATTCTAAAAATAGTGCAATTTCTCTAATGTAAATTTACACGTAATCAAACAATATCGTTTTAGGTGTACTTAAAGACATCACACAAGAGCAGTCAGGGAAACACGACACCAAAAATACGAATTCAGATGCATTAATAGGTGCTGTTTGTGGTGCAATTATTGTCCTTATAATAGGAGCTGGAGTTTTTGTCACATTCATCGTTTTGAAAAGGTAAAATTAAGGGTTTACTAGCAATGTGTTTTGTTTGTTAATGTCCTACTTATCACTTTTTAAACACTTTACATATAGCTTACACACATTAATGACTCGTTGTTCTTTTTTTAAATACAAATGTAACCTGTGAATCAATTTCTGTTCATCACTGGTATGTTGTATCCCCCGTTTAATGCTGTATCTGGTTTTGTATTTGCCCGACTGTGTCTTCTTTTGTTTGCCTAGCTGTAGCAATGTTATTCGTAAGAGAGGTCACTGTTAGTTGAAAGCTTGTATGAATGTGTTCTCTTATATTTCACGTGCATGGTCCTTAGATCCGGACAAAACATATTCTTGCTTATGTTCAACTTCGTAAGAGTAACCGACATGACTTACTTTACAGTATAGTTGTTTAATATCTTGATTCAAATTCTTGTATGGCGATCCTGGTAAGAATTTATCTATTTCATTAACATATTTGTAGTACCATATTCCTTTCAATTGATGAATTTGATAAAAATGTGTAATTCATTGATTTGTTAATTATTTGAAGTTGACTTGTATTTTGTTTGTAGGCTCGTTTTGTATGTCTCACGATAACAAAGAATGAACAACTAGAAGTCTTTATTTATCCCCGGGTACATAAATTCTTATTAATGATGTGTTTGCAAACGCATTTAAAATATTGTTGCAAGTAATAGATAATTTGCATTATTTCTACAGGCGAAATGTTCTTTGGCGAAAAAAATCTGACGATGAAAGGCAGTCATTTAGAAGTTCTCTCACACATGCAACTGACCTGGAAATATTCATTGATTGCCAGGAAACGAATATTGTTACAGGTTTGCTTTTCTATTCGTAATGAGGGTTCTTTAAATACTAGATGAAATTACAACTAAAATAAAATACATGTCTAAGGCGTTATCAATTTAAATAGAAGTTGTTTTTTGAAGGAAGTAATAACATGTTCGCTTCATGGTGCATCCTCTTTCATTTCTTCCAGTATTATTATAACTTTCTGACTCTTCAGGATAATTGATTTTAATATTCAATGTGTTAATTAGTAATTACCACTTAATCCTGTTTTAGTATCGCTCATGTACCGACCTAATTGCTCTCGGACGATCACCACATCTTCAGGTTTAAAAATCAAACGTTCATCAATAAAAGATATATATATCATCTCATTAATTTAGCATGAACTATTAAGTAAGTAGTAACTTTAGACACTAAAACATTTTTTTTTTCTGTACAGTATGTGACTCTAAAACGACTCTTCAATGTCATCTATGATTATATATATGGGACCCTAGAAAATAATGGAACTTTTTCATGTCATTTTTGATGATATGGGACACTAGAAAATAATGAGACGCTTCAATGTCATCTATGATGATATATACTTGTATTTGGGACACTAGAAAATGATGGGACTCTTCAATGATGTCTATGTTAAAACGGAAAAATAAAGGGATTGCTCATTGTCGTTTGTGATGATGTGTCCTATTTTATTCTTTATACATGTATGTTTACATGTTAAGCAGTCGACAACCTTTTTTGATGCTTAGCGATTTTTCAGTGATATTTTTGTAATTAAATTTATAACACTTAACCAGGCCCTACCAAATGGTTTGATAAAAGCATTTGTATGAACAGAACGTACACGGATTGGAATGGCAGATGCATCAAGGAACACAAATAGAGTATATATCAATACAACAGTTGGAGATTCCAGCAACCAAACCTACTTTGACTTTAGGAACTCCGAATCTTTGCCTAAAACAGCAATAAAAATAGATGATCTTCAAGATGTTGTGTTTAATGGAAATAATGGGAATAACATATTTGAAACTCAGTTTAAGGTAAAATTTATAAATTTTTGAGGTATGTTTATTACTTTGATGATTTCACTCAATTTGATATTTGTTTCAAAATTGTTACACAAATTGTAAAGATGATTTCTAATCGTATTCGTAATAACTGGTAAAATTATTATTTCTTTTTTTTTCTGCAGGATAAATGTATAATAAGTTGTTCAAAACTTATGGAAGTCACGGATCAGTAGTAAATGTTTTTCAAAGCAATTGAAATAATGTCATGCGCCTTGAACAAAATGATATATATTTTCAGAACCAAATGTAACAAGTGATTTAATTTCCAATTAATCAATGACTATAAAACAATAATCTTTGGAAAGCAATCTTACAGGTAAATAATTACATGTACTCATTAGTTCAATCAGTCAATTTTGTCTTTGAAATATGAAAATTTGGTTTCTCCATTAAACAATTTACTTTATAATTATAATTAAGGCTCTACCACAAGGTATGGTTGAAAACTTTTCTGAAGCTGTCAAGTTAGAAAACAAAGGGAAGAATAGATATACGAGACTTTATGCTTGTAAGTAAACAGTAGTTTTCAAAATAATATTTTGATATTAAAGTTATAAATCAATTACTCTAAAAATATCACCCAATAATAACATAATGTATCAGCATTTGCAAAAACATAATATTGAAAGGACAAGCAAGAATTAAGAATTAAACACAACAGTAAATGACTAAGTCATAATATGGTCAGAAAAAGATGAGCAGATGAAAAAATTGATTCTTCAAAGTTAAGTGAAATAATTTATTATTTGAATTATTATGCTATTTAGGATAAGTATCTGTTCAACCTCTTATCCTGTATATCATGTATCAAATATCAAAATTGTATAAAAAATATTCCCATTTGTTTTAATAAAGATGATGACACACGAGTTGTTCTTAACACAGAGGAGGATTCAATCTCGGATTATATTAACGCATGCTATGTACATGTACGTGCCCCTCTTCTTGATCTCTTCATTTAGAACAATTATCATATTAGAATGATGTGTAAGGATAACCGTCTACCAGTGGCATCACATATCGTTGATAGCTTAAGTGTTAATATAATCAAGTAATCAAGTTTTAGCACAGAAAAAAGCCGTTTAAACAATTTTTATCCACTGTACACTTTTCCAGTATTATAATAAAACCAGATTCTTTATACATTACCAAATATCATACACTTTTCTTGCATTCTTTAAAAGACTATGTGTTCTATATTTTCCTCTTAGAAGAATTATCATGTTTATAAAGGCCATGACTTGACAACTTAAATAGAAGGAGTTATAGCATTATAAGCCCTAATTGTGGACAATATTTGTTACCATATAGAAATATCTTCTTACAGGGTTTCAATAAATCAAGAAAATATATAGCGACACAAGGTAAAACAAAGCTTAAACATATTACATTTTTTTTTAATTCTAAACACTTTTTTCATAAGTCATTTTTCATTTTAAATGAATACATAGCTGCTTTTTAAAGTTCACGTCATTTAAAATATTTTTTCAAGTATCACATTCGAAAGATAAATTTCAGGACCAACAAAGAACACCGTGGCAGACTTCTGGTGGATGGTTTGGCAGGAGGACACCAGCAAAATTGTAATGCTGACAAACTTAATAGAAGAAGGAAGGGTATATAGATTGACCGTTCTTATATGATGTTCAAAACCGTCCCAATTTATTTTTTCATGATTGTGCTTAATTGGTACAGTTAACTTCTCTAAAAAGTGCTTCGGGTAATTTGTTCAGTTACTGTCGTAGTTCTTTTTGTTCTTCTTTTTGAACAGATAAGCTAAATACATTTTTGTCGTTTCAAAGGGGATTGACATTTTTGACTGCCAGCAATGAACTTTGCCCACCTTTGTTGATCCTTTTTAAACACTTTCATTTACAGAATAAGTGCATAAAGTACTGGCCTGATGACATGGAGGAATATTTTGGAAAGTTGAAGATTTGCCTTAAAAAGGTGGAAACAAATTCCCAGTTTGATATAAGGACTCTATCTGTTAAAAAGGTATGGTCAAGTTGATATGCTCATTATGATAATCATTATAATAATCCTTGTAAAACACATTTAATAGTACTGAACGTTTGGAACGTCGATTCGATTATTATGATTCAGATTCATGAAAATAAAACCAAAATGATTATGTTGATCAAAGCAAATTCTTTTTCTCTTTTTGTTCTTTTTCTTTCGGAAATTTCTTTGATGTGCATTCATATTTTGTTTTTCCATTTGTAAAGGATAACTCAGCTGAAAAGACCGTTACTCAGTTTCATTTTACAGTGTGGCCTGACAAAGGTATTCCAAGATATGCATCTGCTCTAGTTCACTTTTTGAAAAAGGTGAACAATGCACCTACTCACGGTAGTAGTCCGATCATTGTACATTGCAGGTAAATTAGATATACATTAGATAAGAATGGCAATTTCCAAAAGTAAATCTTATATTAATACAGAAATTATTAAGTTCAATTTCAGGAAATATATACTATACGATTATCATTGTATTGATTATCTTTCTATTCAATAGATACATATATTTTGTTTTAAAAATAACAAACCCCTAACATATCTGTAGACAGAAATACTTTTTTAAGCTTTCTTATGAATGTTGCCTATTCAAGGCTATGTTAACAAGCTGTTGAATTATAAAAGTCTCCCGTTTTATAATAAAATGCAAAATTCTACCCAAGCCGGCCACAGGAAGAATGGGTGTATCAATGTCTATCATCTAAGAATTTGATAATTGTTGCTTTGCTGTGTATTCCATTTTATCTATATCATGTCATTGCTTTACCAAGTGCTGGTGTTGGAAGAACTGGAACCTATATCGCCCTAGACTATCTTACAGACCAGGGGAAAACACTTGGATACGTCGATGTTGCTGGGTGTGTTGATTCTCTAAGAAGGCAGAGAGTTAGTCTTGTGCAAACATTGGTAAATAATACAAATGATTAATTATACTTTAAGTTAGCAAAATTTGTCTTGTACTTCTTGAATTTATGATATCGGTAATTCGATAGGAGGGAATTAAAAATTATATATACAAAAGTGCGAAATTTTAGAAATGAAATCTAAGCGTGCCATAAATAAAAGCTACTTTCAAGTCATTGAAAATGATTTTGTGCAATGCTCTAGCTACATTCGTTTTCGATATCTCGTTTGCCACTGTGTCATAAATATTGAACCAAACAAGCATATTACTGTTCTCCTTTCACATTTTTTCATTATTGAAATTACATGTACATTGACCTCATCTCATGCAATTAATATAAAGAAAATAATATATAACTTCTAGATAATAGTGTCTAACTGAATTGAAAAAATAAATGAATAGGATTTGTAAATGTTTGATTTGAAATCACACGGATTTTCTTTTGCAATAAAATTTATTAAATCATTTACTATATACAAGTAATAATTTTGTACAGAGTGATCAATCTGCTTTATCTATACACCTGTTATTCATTTTAAATGTTTTATTTTGTTTACTTACGCGTTGTTTGAAACAATTTACAAACGGTCAAATATGAAATGTGCAATATTGAAGTATACGTATATAGCTTTAAAAAAGTTAACTTTCTTAAATAATCAATCATCAATGTAACCCTCATCTAAAATGCATGGTATCTTTAAAATAGAAACATGGATAAATAACAACATGACAAATTGTTACTACATTTGTTTTGAATAAAAATTTGCAAATCTGTACAGTTTTTACTATTTGTAACCTTTTAAACGTTTTTTTCTCATTTGTTTTATATTGAATAGGACCAGTATATATTTGTTCACCGCGCATTGGTTGAATCACTAATGATGTCATCATCAACAATCCCTGCACAGAAATTCCAAGAAAGATATTGTGAACTTCAAAAAGTAGATCCCAACAAAAATAAAACGAGAATTTGCATAGATTTTGAGGTATGTGCCCTTTAGGTAATTTCTACACAGTGCTTTATAAATGTTTTTCATGTTGTTTTTTTTATATTAAATATGTTGTACGTATAAGAATGTCTGTTTTATATTGTCTCTAGAGATATGAAATGGTCATTCACTTCAATTAAGAAATTGTACGTAAGCCGATATATAAATGAAATATAAAATAGGAGGATTTATTCTCTAAAAGTATCTATCAAATCAATGTAATAATTCACATTTTTTCTTAAAGAATCTTCAAAGAGTCTCGCCACCATCTGAAGACAGTCTGTACGTATCAGCAAAGCTTGTTGTAAATAGACAAAAGAACAGAGACCCTAATGTTCTGCCAGGTAATTGAGTATAAATTCATGTATTTCCAAATCATTGTGTATTCTAAATCTATCTACACTTATATAAAGTTCTTAAAGGAATGTACGAATTTGATTAAAACAATCTTTATCTGTATTCTTAGCATTAATTTTATGTCGGATTTGACAAATTGCCCGACAGGTTATCCGAATTTGAAACATTGATTGAAGTAAATGTCACGATACCGGTTATCTACTGAAATCAATAACTTGTCAAGTGTATTTACTCACAGTTTTAGATGAACCAATTTTGCGAATTTATCACCCTTTTCTGTGAATAATATTCTACAAGGAAGAAAATCACCAGTCCTGTCGGGCTTGACCCAAATTGATTGAACGGCAAATGAATTACATGTCGCATGTTGTAACACAGATTTATATCTTTAATGATTTTTCGGCTTGGTTACTCTGTTTAACTCTTCCTTTATGCTCGTATATAAGAGTTTTTTCCCTTTATCACCGGCATAACTTTGACTATCATCAAACTGTATGTATAATATTACAATTGCATTTCATACAAACCGCGATAATCTGTTTAATGGTACTATTTGTTAAAAAGATCCTTTTGATATAGAATGCTTGAATAATAAGAACATTTTGAATATAATTGTATCATTTTAATTTGCAGTTGAGGATTTCATGCCGTTCGTAACAAGTGATGATGGGAGACCTATCTATATTAATTGCCGTGTTTTGCGGTAATAAAAAAAAAAGTCGTTCGGAGGGGGGCGGGGGGGTCGTGGGGGGTAAGGTAATGTGGGGGGGGGGTCATGGAGTAAAGGTACAAAACAAAATAAAAAATAAAATAAAAAAAAAATAACGATAGCGGCATGCGGGTAAATAAACAACAAATATCAACTAGGTTTCGTTTTTACACTGAGATTTATAGAAGTGAATAAAACTATATCTCGGTTGCCTGCAATTAACATTGTTTGTTTCAGTTTTTGAAAAGGCATAATTCCAAAGAAATATGTGAGTAAATTTGCTTTTGAGTTAATGCTGCGTGCATAATATTATTACAACTAATTGCAGCATGATATTTTGTTCAAAGTTTTATTCTGTTAACACATATATTTTCATGTGTGTTAGACAACAGAAACAGTCTTTGTTACAACATTGGAGATTGTGGACTCAGCATAATTTTATCGTTACGGTTTATAAATTTAAACAAATCTCATTAGATTTAATTTCATGACCTTAAAGCAAATTAGCTGCAGTCATTAAATTACTTATTTGGCGAAATAAAGAGGTAGGCGTTTACACAAGTGAGCATATGTACGTTGAGTTTTTCCGCATAACATTGTGAACTTTTCACGTTAAACACATCACTATAATAAGAATAAATTGGAGTGGTTATACATTAAGTACAACAATTCAAACGATGTGTAAGAAAAGGACAGCGTTACTTGTGATTGTTTGGCTACAGTTATCTCACTTGCTGATAAATGCTTGTATTATAGTATTGAAAATGTGTCCTAATTAGCACGTATATCCAGTAATTCACGTTGCTTAAACAGGAGTGCAGTTACTAGTATTAGTAAACCGCACGCCGGTTACTGCACTGTCTGATGAGGATGAAAACATGTCATGTTTGTTGAATACCTATACTTTCTTCAAACTTTCTTCTTGGGCTTGCTTATTGTGACGACAGAGAAAGGGGTGATAATGAAAAGTCATGTGCGTATGCTCGTACATTGTTAAAGTTCTCATATTTTTACGACAGGCAAATTGTTTTAATGTTGCTATGATACAAAAGAGAAAGAAAATAAAAACACTCGGCAATCTGTTGATAGTCCGGGACCACGCCCCGTCGTCAAATAAGATACCCTCGTGTTTCGATGCTCTTTCTTCATGTAGGATAGACTATATCAATTAAGAAAACAATTGATTAAAGCGTATTTAGAATGAGAACGCAATACCATACTTTCCATAAATGGCAATGAGTGTTTCCTTTTTTTCTTGCAAATCGTCTCAAATATTAGAGGCCCCTAAGGCGTACCCGCATTTTGTGTATAAGTTCATTGTGAAATAAGTTGGTAACACTAGTTCCTGAAAGTTTTGATGAATTTTGCGTATTCTGATATGATTTCTTATATGTGATTTGTAAACTTTTAGATTTAGACGTCGACATTAACCCTATAGATGCTTTGGTTCCCAACGGACATTGTTAAACAAAACAAAAAAAGTTCAAGAGCATGAATTAAGTCACCTTTGTAAGACAAGATAAACACAATTTATTTTTAAGAAAAATCAAATTTGTTATTACTCTTTAAAATAGTTTTAAAAATTTATTGTTTGAGAAAAATAGAAATTAATATGAAAGTTGTTCATTTTTCTCAAATTGGCCAGGTTAAGGATTTTAGAACATTATTTACAAATAAAATCGACCGTAGTTTCAAATAATAATGTTTTTTGTTTCTAAAGAGTTACAACGAGAAGAATGCATTTACCATAACACAATCGCCTTTGAAAAGTACAAGAGAAGAATTTTGGATGCTTGCCTGGGAACAAGATGTTCACACAATTGTCATGTTGAACAGCACCGATGAGATAGAGGTAATCCATGAACTTATAAATTTAACATTTAAAAGATTTCATGCCATTGTTACGTTAAAGGGCATCGCTTAATTGAAATTATGGAATGAAGATTTTAATGATCAAAATGCACGAAAACAAATTGAAAATTACTTGTTTCAAGAACTATTCAATTGTTTTAAATTTTTTAAACGTTATTCACGTCTCCTGTTCGTTGCTGTGTTTACACGCTAATCAACTTGGTAAATGCTAGATATAAGTTCAGAAGACATTTGTAACATACTTATATGTCAACTAGCGATTTTCATTATTTTGTCGGTGTCAAAATATCTAGAATAACCGAAATTCTACTAGTACAAAATTAATTTTCATCTTTTTACACTGAGTACAATTGAAAAAATACACAGGTATCTGATTTTGTTTAGAATGACGAGAAATATTGGCCTGAGGGGAAACCAACTGTTTTCGGAAACATTCATGTTTCAAAAGTATCAACTGATACGACCAGTGATCATGTCGTTTTGACGCTGTCCCTGAAGAAAAATGACACGGTAAACTTTTAAAATCTTCTTTGATCGTTTTACTATATTATATATTAAATAAAATGAGAAGGGTTTTTGCAAATAATGTCATAACTTTCACTCGTTGTATAATCTGATTTTGGTATATCTGTTTTGAGTGTTTGGATGGATTTCTGCGCACCATCCAGTTTAGGTCAAAGGGCGCCGAAACAGGAAAAATGGTTTTGAATAACCTCAGGTGTTACAAACTTTAAGATACACCTTGGCGTTAAACGGTAGTTGTAATTCTGATGCCTCATCCCGTAATGACAACCTCTCAACCACAAGAAGATGGTGTTCCTGTGGATTCTTCAATTTTTTATATATGTTTTATCCATATCCATGTGTTTTTCGCAAAATATGATTTCATTATGTAGGACTGTAACTGTAACAGTAGAAAATGTAATAAATGTTTTAATGATCTCCACTGAAAACCTATTTGGATTAAAACAAAAGTAATTTAAACCACTTTCCTATATTATCTTCTATTTGCAGACGCGACGTATCAAACAAATACAATGTGGAGGATGGCGAAAAGGCAATTTAATACCTGATTCGCCAGACACTATATTGTCCTTGCTAGAAACGGTGCGGGCATGGCAACAACAAACGGGAAATCATAAAATTCTTGTTCACTGCATGTAGGTTCTTAGTACCTTTTCGAACGATATTCTCTCATACTTTTGTACAATCTTCACCTATCCAATAAATATCAATCACGTCTTTTCCTTTATTATTGACGTATGTGTCGACCTAGGTCATATCAAAACTTACATAATAAATATTATGAAATAATGTGTGCATTTGTTTTTGAAAGCGCATGTGTGGTCGGTAACAGCTTGCTTTCCTTTTCACACTTACTTCAATTCCGAATACTGCTTTGTAAGGAAGTTATTTTAGCTAACTTTAATTATAGGCAGTGTGTCTAACCAGGTTCATAGTACCGCTAGAATGTTTTCATGAGGCATTAGCGATTTTGACTGACAAGGAGAAATACAAACAAAACACAATAATCTATTAAATAAAATATAAAACAGACTCTTGATCACTAAAAATACTTATTCAATATAAGCAGTTTCCAATGAACCAAAATGAAGCGGATTTTATTTGTTTTATGATTACTTTTTTTACTATTTATTGTGATTTAATATACATTCTAAGTGTCTATCCTCATTGTCAGCAGGAATGGAGCAGATAGAAGTGGTTTGTTTTGTGTCATATCATCAGTCATAGAACGTATGAAGATTGAACAAGATGTTGCTATAGCGTCTGTTGTAGAAGAAATGAGAAACGCTAGGGAACAAATCATTCCCAGTTTAGTAAGTATTAATGAAGTATTAATGAAGTATTAATAAGTAAAGTCTCCTATAGAGCAAGTTATTTGAATTCCCTCTCGAATAGATTCACACGTAATTAAAAAGTTAAGACAATTCCTCATATCCGTACCTTATGATATATAGTTTCAAACATTTTAAATATTAAATTGAAATAGGTATCACTGTGATGCCTTAATGCGAATCAAAGGTTACGAATATAAGCAGTGTATTATTTTGATGTTTTCTTACATATACACGCACTTGCTTAAGTATTTAACACTGCTTTAATGATAAAAAAATCATGCCAGTATGTTTTCCATATCAATTTGCCATCTATTTCAGTTTACCGCCAAGTTCATTTAAAGGTTTGATGGACTTTTTGCGCTAAGTTAAAGGCTGTTAAAATGATATTACCACGAATCCAGGCAGTCAACGTCAACTACGTCGTTATAATAAAATGTACTTTAAACAAATGTTTTAAAGGAGAATCAAATTTCCCTTCTCTAATAGTAGTCCCCTTGTTAAGTACAGTTCATCGCTATAAAGATAAAAATTGTTTGGTAACATTCCTTGATCATCAGGTAAACGATATTCTATAATCCACAATTTTTAAAGTCCTTTGGAGATTACCCCTGATACATATGAACTTTATATTTTCTAAGTTTTAGAAACCCCCTTTTTAGTATATTGTTTATTATTAAGAATCATTATATTGTTTGATTTAATGCTTTTCTTTGCAGAAACTTCCCTTTTTTTTGTTCCAGGAACAATATCAGTTTTGTCATGAAGTGGTTCTTAACTTCATACAACAGTACGACACATATTCAAATTTCCGAAGTTAATAGAATAACAAACACTCATGACCAACGAGAATTCAGCTATCCGGTGTTTCATTTATGCTGTAGTTTGTGCCATCAGATGTTATGATAGTTTGTTTTTGATGAATTTGATAAATAGAATTTTGCTTTGTACATATAAATATATATTCTAATCACGTTTGTGTTTATTATAAACAATATAGTAAAGAAATTACATATCAATACTTTGTCAGTTATCAATTATTAATAACCAGTATTTGTAAATGTACACATGTTTTTAAGTTGCGAAGGTGAGTTCTAGAAATTAGAAGATATCACAAAACTAGTAAACAACCTTACTATTGAAATACATCGCACCAACACTGAAGGTCATGTTGCGACTTTCCAGCTTTACTTGTGGAGAAACGGGAAAACGTGCATTGAAACAAAATTGTGATGAAAACAGTTTATTTGAATTAAACTGTCCGATCCTTATCTAAATAGTTATAAACAAAGAGAATGAAAACTTTAAATGACAAAATTGTGCTTTTCCTCATAAAGTGACCACCGACTGGCCACCCTTTCAATCAAAACAGTTACTGTAAACAGAATTTCTGCCTAAGTTAAGAATTTTGAAGAAGATGAAGTGCACCATATCTTAGTTATGAAGTCAGACTCTTTAAAACATACACATGCATTTGAAATCCTTTAACCTTTTTTAGAAATGCTGTTAAAATCAATGTTATGTTTAATTATCTTCCTTTTACAGACCGAGTGAACAATGAAACCGTCCGCAATGCACACATGTTGGTTTTGTGTTTGTTCTAATTGAAATGCAAAAAGTGTAAAATATTGACCACTTCTACCTTTTCTGATCTTTGTTCTAATTGAATCCAATATTGCCTTATCTTCTTTTTTGGGCAAGAATGTAAATTTTATTATAGGAATTGACCGCCTCCGTGGTCGAGGGGTTAGCGTCGATGACTTCTAATCCAGTTACCTCTCTGGCGTTGGTTCGATCCCCTGGAGATGCTTTGGTAGTTTAGCACGGAGTAAGGTAGTCTAGTACTGGTGTAACTCTCCAGGAACGATGGTTAGGAAACTACCCGCCTATATAACTGAAATACTGTTGAGAAAAGGCGTAAAATGAAACAAACAAACAAACAATCCCTAAAATGCAATCATATTTGCTCTAACGTGAGACCAGTTCACACACATGCACATAACGTTTTATACATCCATTTTTTAGTCATACGAAATCTAATGTTTGAAGTGGTATATGACTACTTTTAGAGTTAAGTATTGTAAACTGATTAGCAAGTGGTAGGTACATTAAAAAATGTGTTTTGTTGCACCGCGGTCTTTAGTCAAGACAATGCCAAACATTTTTTCATGACATTCGGGGAATGTACAATAATGGTGAAGACAACTGTCAATTTGATCTTTAAATACACGAATATCATTTAACAAATTATTTATGACTCAAAACAATTTCTAGCTACTCCATATACACTGAAATGACACCTTTTGTTGGTACCTCTGAGGAAGACGGAAAAACAAATTGGATGGACTGTTTGATGTTACTTAATAAGTTAACTTAAAAGATCATTTTTACCTGTGTTTAAAGATAAAAGTGTGATGAATTATCTTCACTTAGTCTTTCTAAGCTTCTTTGCACACGCTAAACAATGATGATTTCCTTCACGCTGTTACAAAATGTAAATCGGATTCATTAACTTAACAACTGAATTATTTTTCACTAAGATAAAAAAGATGCTCAAACAAATCGTTTTCCTTGTTGAACATCTAAAATGTCATAAATAATAGAACTTGACATTTCAAATTAAACAAATAATAAGCCGTCATGACTTAAGATAAAATAATACTGGTCTTTAACAGGGTAACTGTATTTGTAACTCGGACTTTTTGATACAGGAGGTTGATTTAGATCTTAATATATAGAAAGTTAAAGTAAGTTTTTTTTCTATTTTTCATTTGAAAAAAAAATATACTGAATCATAATAACACACTAATCATAATGATTTCAAATAATGATATTATCTATTGCATACCAACATTTTATGATTTTTTGTATCTTTGATCTTTGATCACAGGGTGTCCCATACTCTGGAAAAGTAATCTTTTTATCACTTACTTTTTTTTTAAGGTTACACTATTTTGTCCGGCGCTATCATTTATGACGTTATCAAGTAATGACACACTATCCATATTGAAATAATTGAATAATTCTGAAAACTGTTTCTTATTCTGTTACATATTTCATATGATGTGTGCATATATATATGTTCTTCCAGCTATCTTAAGCAAGGGGTGTATTGATGTCAAATGCGCATTCATTTATGACATATGCTTTCCATCCAAATTCAAATATAGTAGATCTATGGCTACTGTTTATATAAATTTGTGAACTCTAATTTGATAATATCATTGTTGAAATAGTTAACACAGGTATATCGAAGTAAACTACAGAACATATATAATCATTTAACCATCAATTATCATAAGATAAAATAGTAATAGTAATGTTAATACATGTCATGCATGTTGTTCGGTGGTGAGTGAAAATACTTTTTTTTTGTTCCTAGCGAGCCTTTTGCGAGCATACTACTATTTATTCTATGAATTGAATACATTCAGAATTGAAGCTACATGAATATAATATCATATTTATCAAATAGCCAACATAAGAACTTTTAAGGTGAAAACAAAATCCTCTTTTTTTTTTGTTATTTTTATCATAAAATCAAAGGAATATACATGCAGTTTATATAATATGTGATCTATGTTAGAGTGGCGCTATTCACTTCGTTGTTATCAAAATGCAGCTTCGTAAAAAGACTCAACTACATTTGTGGTGTTTTTTTTTGTTATCTTTATTGCTCGCCATAGTTGCTTAACAAGAAAGAGAACTGGTAAGTTTTATTTTGACATATTTGTTGTGTTATCTGTTTGGGAATTATTTGGGTTTTTTTTCAGCAGTCGGTCAATATCTCATTAATTTAATTTTGATATTTAATGAAAATCTGTGATAACTATCAGCTGTTGATAAATTTGCAAGAATCTAATAAACAATCATCCCTTTTGAATGATATATAGTCATTTTAAATACTTTTATCAAAGCTGAAGAAGCTTTAAGTGCAATTTACATAATCTTGAATAGAAAGACAGAATATCAGTTGTTATATATTTAAACTGGAGAAAATAATTGAAAATATCATAAATAATATCATACTTACTTTTTAAATAAATAATGAATTATACACTGATCAATGAATGTAAAATCTTATTATTTAATTGAAATGCTCAGTTAAAGAAAGCAAATTATTCATTACATCATTCTTTTTATTTATGCTGCAATTCTGTTTTGGCAAATATAAATTACGATTAGTCAACAGCCGGTTCAAGTATTGAAAAAAAAAAGAAAAAGATATGCATATCTTTGAAAATAACGTATTCAATTTCAATATTCTTGCCAACGATGAAAGATCCTAAAAGATCATTATCAAATATTTAGAATTTGAATGAAATGATGCGAAAGAGGAAATATATCGATATTAATGATGGCAAACTATAAAAAGAATTTTCGTGACATTTAAGGTGTTTAAAACATTTATTTGGAAATGACTTTCTTGCTTTTCAGATGTGAAAGTAGGAAATGGGTTCATTTCGTCTGTTACAACTGATTCTCTTCATTTACACGTTAATACTAGAAATAGAAGTAGCGCAGACCCAACAACAAGGTAACCTAAGTATTCATGTATATAGACAAATAAAACTAACATTAATTCGTTAAAACTAAGAAAGCAATATCGTTGAAATAATAAAGAAAAGTTGAACTCCATTTTTCCGAATTATTAAAATTATATTCAATTGACATCTTCATTCCGATTGATTATCTTAATTCAATATGAATATAACTCCTACAATAAATGTGTTTGATAGAGTTACATATGAGATAAGCTTTTATATTTTCTTTTATGTTTTACATATTTCAGCGATCGGATGTCCACTTTTTTTTCTTAAAACGTCATGCTATGGAAGGTTTGTAGATGGACAGTTGAGTAATTTCGGCACATTCATTAAGATAGGAAGTATAATCGAATTATGGAATGCGTCAAATTATGATAGTTATGTTATCCTGCGATGCCAGGAAGATGGAACATATAATGGAACTACGCCTTGCCATTTAATAAGTCAAAGTAAGACAGTTTAATATTTTATGATAAATTGGCATAATGGCCCAATTAGATCGACATAATGGTCCATTTGTTAAAAAAAAGCACGCTAACTTTGGCAACTAAAGTGTCTGTAATGTTCAACATTTTCGTTAGGGAACAAAATGTTTAAATTTGTTTTTTGTTAAAAGATGTGGTAAAATTTTGTAACATAGCGTAGAGTTAAATTGCTTTAGGTTTTTACTTTAACTAAAGACCTAAAAATAATCCCATGCCACAGTATTTTACATTCCAGTAAATCTAGCTGGTCGATTATCTTCCATTCAAGAAGAAATTCCCAAAAATTCAACTGGTGAACAAGCGCGCAAATACAGCTCAGCAATAGAAATTAAAAACCGCTTTTACAGGACATTGAACTATTCAAATTTCCAACTTTATTTACTATTTAGAGTGATTTATTTCATTTTATGCAGTTTCTGCTTGTGCAAACATATACTTTAAGAATTAATTTACCTGTGTTTTCTTTGCGCAACGTCAGCATATTTTGCTAGTTATTAGTGATCAATGTGCATTTTACATGTAGACTTGACCGTACTTGATCCTTATTTGACAAGACCTTCATCACGTCCAAAGTCATGAGAAGTATTTGGCAAGCCTGCTTAAAAACAGTGATTGCCAGTCATTTTTGAAAACTGTAAAGAGCAGTGTTACGATTCCATAATTTTCTACATGATAAAGCTATTTATAAGTTGTACTTGTCTTTCCATTTTTATTCCACAATGTTTGTAAAATCATGTTTTATTTTTTGGACATATGCCATATTTGCTGTGGAAGCCACTTATTGAGAGTTGACTAGTAGGTCATAGCAAGGGCAAGCGAGTGCCTATGCAATTAACGATACAACTAATTAATCTCAGGGGGTATTATCTTGTTATTGTATCATAGTTTGGGGACCATTCTGTTGAAATTGTGTCACAGTTCGTTATCTGGAGTGTTAGTTCCCGCACTCCAACGCATGCCTATTAATTGGCTCATATTTGCTGGGGTTCACTTGAGTATTGAACTTTTGAATCAACCTTAGGATATGTGGCCTGCTTTTTAAATTTGTCTTTTGACGTCTTATCTGTGATACTAGTATGCAGGCTTCATAACCTCTGATCCCCTTTCAAAATTCCATTTTATTTAGTTCCGCCAATTGTTTTCTCGTTTAGGGCACACGCATTGTTTTACTTGGGGACCTTATGCCGCTTTTCATGTACTGGCACTGTAGATGTTTTCCGTTAAAAATAGTCAAGAATGCGCAGATAAGATTTCAACACTTTTCTTTATTCATCATGGAATAATATCAATGTGATACAACAATGCGATTCTCTGAAATAAATAAATAAACAAACTAAATACTGATTACAACGCATTTAAAATAAAATACAATAAATTGTCTAAAATAATAATGTTAATGCAAATCATAAATATACGATATCACCTTAAAACAATTACAGACTTAAATCTATGCAAATGATAATGTTATTTTATATTACCGCAAATAATTTTGTTTATAATTTAATTCACGGCAAAATATTCATCATCATTTAAAAAAGATTGAATTTACTACTGAAATTCATACATAATAAATTACTAGCTTACCGATTATGATCTTCTTTCCATTGGAAAACATCAATAAACAAAATACATAAAAAATTTTAAGCACTTCCGCCCAAGGCAAAACAACAAATCAAAGTAACTGTTAATGACGTTACCGTAAAACAATTTAATGACGTCTTTTTACGGGAAACAAAATAAGACGTTACGTTGGCGGAAAAAGTGAAGCTATGTTTAATTGAAAGAGTCAAACAATGTCTTTAATAGTAAATACTATCGGAAAAATCAAACTATGAAAATTATGTGATTATAATAAAATAAATTTACAATTAAGAACTATAATTCTTACACTCCCCACCATGAAACGTTACGATTTCATCTTACACAAACAATAGCTTATTGTAATGTATAGGTTTACGATTGAAATAGAACATTCTAGTAGGCAAAGTTTAGTTATTGGTCTTATGAATTATGACACACTAGTTTTGACCACACAGCTTCGTGTATGCCCGTCCCGATCCACAATATAGTTACAACCCTGCCCAACGGCCACTGCCCCCTTGGTTTGTTTTCCTGAGCCACGAGTACAATATCGCCCTCACGGATATCTCTTTGTGGTCTCAGCCATTTTTGTCGAGATTGTAGGGTAGGTATATATTCCCGAATCCATCGCTTCCAGAATATATCAGCAAGATACTGAGCCTGTCTCCACCTTCTCTTTGCATATGTATCTTCTTTTCTAAAAATGCCACGTGGAATACATGTATTGGACTTTAGTTATAAAATCATGCTTGGAGTTAAAGCTGGGGGGTCTTTTGGGTCATCGCTTACTCGGGTAATGGGTCTATCATTTAGTATTTTTTCAACCTCTGTTACAACAGTAAGAAGTTGTTCATCTGACAGAAGCTGCTCTTTGACTAACGATCTCAAAATTGCACGTGTCGATCGTATCATCCGTTCCCATATACCGCCAATGTGACTAGCTGACGGAGGGTTAAAGTTCCATTCGATTTCCCGCTGCAACATGAATTGACCAATTTCGGATTGATTCCATTCTCGTATGGACTTTCGCAATTCACAATCTCCAATAACGAGATTGGTTCCGTTGTCACTATATACCTTTTCCGGTAGACCTCTCCGGTTAATAAATCGTTGAAATGCGGCGATAAACGAATCTGTACTCAAACTATGAGTAAGTTCTAAATGGACGGCCCTTGATGTTTAACAAGAAAAAATACACCCATACCTCTTTACTTTCGACTTTCCTGATTTAACCATCAAAGGACCAAAAAAGTCTATGCCGATAAATGCAAACGGTGGTTTATCTGGTGTGATTTGCTCATCAAGTAACGGTCCCATTTGTTGCTTACAAAGCGGATTGTTCTTGCGTTTACATGGTACACAATTCCTTACTTCCCGTTTGACAGCGCTATGTCCATTTATTATCCAGTATCTTGTTCGTGTAGCTGCTAAAAGTTGTTGTACTCCGACGTGACCTTGACTCTCGTGGTAAAAACGTATCATTAAAGTAGTTAAATGATGCCGTTACGGTAGAATGATTGGACATTTGGTTTCATCATGGTAAATAATGCGTCCTTTTGTACGTATTAAACCATCTTTAAGTATAGGATTTAATGAAGCTATCGGACATTCACCTTTAACATTTGTTCCTTTTTGCAAGTTTATTAACTCATCGGCAAAGCATTCCGTCTGAACGTATTTCACAACTGCGCTAGAAGATGTCTTTAGGTCAGTCAAGGTGAGATTACCCTTTTCAACCACTACATTGTGATGCAGATATCGCTGTTTGCAATAATCCTTGTCTCTCAAAAACCATGCCACTGGACGTTTAAGTGTGAACCAATCAGAGTAGTATTCAATTAATATTCCCAATAGTGTCACAAGTGGTAACGTTAACAGCAATTTCTCTTTTAATCTCAACATCATCTTTTTTCACCTCCGGGATAATATTACCTGAATACTTAGGCCAGTGCTCCCTACCTTTACTAAGACATGTTGGTCCATGCAGCCAAACATTTAATTTGTCTGTTACAGAAGCGTTGTATACATTTATTACGGGATAATGCGGCATATACCAAACACGCTTTTTCTCTGGTATCATGTGACCTACATCTGATGAATATCCATTCGCAGTGTAACCATTTACAGTAGTTCTGTACATATCATGCAAATTATTGTCGCTTGACAACTTGCGCTTCAACTGCTGTAATCTGGCTTGAGCAAGCGGTATATTATTTACGAATGATGAATTTCCATCACGCCAAGGGAGGCCAATCTTGTAATGACCATCCTCTCGAGTTAAAGTTGATTCCATGGATTTCTTAACATTTTTATCTTCTACAGACATGCAACTCTTCACTTGTTGTGATTTATCATTAAAGTCAGTTGTCCACAAACGCTCAATTTGTTGCTGTAACAACATGTCACGTGACTCAAAGAAATTTATATTAATATCGTTGGATTCTTGCGTAGTTGGAACTGAACCGCGTATAGCCCATCCAAGACGAGTGCGTATCGCGTACGGTTCATCGCTATTTCCGAATTTCACTTCTAGCGGTATATGTGCAATAGGTGAATCCGTCCCTATTAACATCATAACGTCATTAGTGTCTATATCTGGAATATTTATACCGGATAAGTACGGTAAGTTTCGGATATCTGCATATTCAGCTGCAGATTGAGTTGATATCGGTAATGACTTTACTGACCAGACTTTTCTTAGGGTAATACTTTCACTTCCATCGATAGGTTGAATATCTAAGTCGGCCTCCTGACCATGTGTAATACCTTCACGTGAGTTTGCCGTAGACATCCGGAATGTGACGGGCTTACTGGTTATATTCAGGGTCCGTAACAATCTTTCATCACATAAGGTTTTATCGGCCCCATCATCTAACAGGGCGTATGTCTGACAAGAACTACCGTCCCCACCCCTAACTATTACAGGAATAATACCCAGACATTTTTTTACAGTAGAACCTTCTGTTGCTGCACAGTTACACGACGACTGCACTGCTGTGTGGCCATTATCGGGTTTTACCCAACTATGTAACAAAATGTGGTGTTTTACATTACAATTAGTCACAATTTAAGTGATCTTACCAGTTTATAACGACCATTGAGACTCATTGACTTGAACTCGTTACACAATGATAACTGTGCACAGTTACCTGAACAACAAATGCATTTACTACTTTCATGACCGTTGTCTTCAGTATGTGTACTCAGAGTAGTAACCTTTGGTCTATCATTACTGTAATATTTGCCAGAACTGTTTCTGGTTTCTTTCTTGATAAAATCATTGTTTTTACAAAGATCATAGCTATACATGGAGTTAGCGATACGTGATTTTTCGTCTACAAATTTAGACAAATCTGAAAAGCGCGGCACTCTACCTGACTCATTTATATAATGTGCTACTTCTACCCATTTTACTCTTACATGTGTTGGGAGCCGCCTAACAATGTATCTTAAATTTTCTGTTTTATCAATATCAGAGGAAAATCCTAACAGAGAAAGTGTAATTTCACATTTCTGCATCTCTAAAGATAATTTAGATAGCCTTTCAACATTGGACGCTTTAATCTGAGCACCATTTACCAAGTTATCAATGTAAGACCTTGCAATTAAATGTGGTCTGTCTAGATAAATCTAGACAATAAGATTGACCTAGCACGTTTATAATCTTCTTCCGGTTCTAACAAAACACAATCTTCTATACTAGATTTTGCCTTACCTGTGCAATACTGAATGAGATAACTTAGCTTTAAAGTATTGTCACTTATTCTGCTTTCAATGTCCCATCAAATGTCAATAATCAATATAGGCTTTGGTAAGTTGAATCCTTCATGGAGTGCTGACGCCAATCTTTGAAATGATCTGTCTATGTTCGATGTCTCACTGTCAACTTACGGTATACACGATCTGTTCATTTCCGGTCTGGGCTGTGTCAAAGTTATATTTCTCACAGAATCTGTACGGTTGTTCACCTGAATATGATTAGTCATATTATTTTGTACGTCAGGCTGAGCATTTTGATTGTTAGATATGACCCCGGTTTCTTCATGTGTTGTTTCTAACCACAACATTTCTTTGATCTCTGCTTCTTCTAATTCCGACTGCTGATCTAACAACTGTTGTTTCATTTCAAGATCCCGGCGAGCTCGTTCAAGTTCTTGTTTCTTTTTAAGTTGTTTTAATTTGTGTTCTGCAATTAAACGCTTTTCTCTAGCACTTTGTAATTTCCGGCGCCACGAGACTGAAGTACGTGAACTTTCATGGCTGACATTTGACTCTGCGTCATTTTCTACAGGAATATTTTCTCCATCATGCGGTCCAATAGCTCCCGCGATCCACTGAGAAAATATTTCCCTGAATTCTTCAAAGTTCTTTAAACAGCTCTCAAAGCTCGCTTCCAAGTCTGCAAAAACTTCCGGTTGCGCGCACAAATCTAAACATTGTAAATGCACTGATTTAAAATGTTCAAAGCGTTCACATAATTTATTTTTCAGTAGTTTAACCTCTTCAATATTATCGTAGAACATCATGCTCTTTTCAAGTTCATTATATAGTTTCGTCAGTTGAGCGCCATTTGCACTTCTTGATCTCTTCAAACTGACAAACTCCTGATTGAAAGTTTCCGCACTATTTGTTGACGGCATTTTCGTCACAGTAAAATCGAGAATTGTAAAATCGAGAATTGTAAAATCGAGAATTGTAGATGTTTCCGTTAAAAATAGTCAAGAATACGCAGATAAGATTTTAACACTTTTCTTTATTCATCATGGAATAATATCAATGTGATACAACAATGCTTTTCTCTGAAATTAATAAATAAACAAACTAAATACTGATTACAACGCATTTAAAATAAAATACAATAAATTGTCTTAAATAATAATGTTGATACAAATCATAAATATACGATATTACCTTAAAACAATTATAGACTTAAATCTATGCAAATAATAATGTTATTTTATATTACCGCAAATAATTTTGTTTATAATTTAATTCACGGCAAAATATTGCAAAGATCATCACCCTTTTAAAAAAGATTGAATTTACTACTGACATTCATACATAATAAATTACTAGCTTACCGATTATGATCTACTTTCCATTGGAAAACATCAATAAACAAAATACATCAACAATTTTAAGCACTTCCGCCCAAGGCAAAACAACAAATCAAAGTAACTATTAATGACGTCACCGTAAAACAATTTAATGACGTCTTTTTACGGGAAACAAAATAAGACGTTACGTTGGCGGAAAAAGTGAAGCTATGTTTAATTGAAAGAGTCAAACAATGTCTTTAATAGTAAATACTATCGGAAAAATCAAACTATGAAAATTATGTGATAATAATAAAATAAATTTACAATTAAGAACTATAATTCTTACAGGCACATTTGTGTCACATTGAAGGTTCCATGATTACCGCCATATGAACACATCTGCGGATGATTCAAAACTCAAAATTGTACCAGTTCATGTTAAATGTTGAATTCTGCTTAAACCGATGCTAGGGTGCGTGGACGGTAGTTTACACTTTCCAGTACCGTCCATGAACAGGCTCAATCAAACCGAGCATGAGCATGCAACATTTGTCGTGTCGTGTTGGGCTTGCTTAAGGGATTCTTATTTTCTCTATTTTATTCACTTATTGTGACGGCAGAAAAACGGAAAGCGACAGAAATATTTGTTTGAGCCAACAGGACTCCTTAACAATAATATTCAAACTTTAAAAAGAAGTTAGCCGTCCTTCAATATTTTAGCAATTAATTCACTGTAAGATATTGTACAATGAATCTGAACAACTGGGTCATTATATAATATTTTATCTTAATTGAATTGTAAGTGTAAAGTCTGAATATCTCAGTATACAAAAGAGCTCACACCATTAGTGTAAGATTTGCTAGAACTGTATAAAAATGGTAACTTCAATTCATAATCTTATAATACTATAATACAGTATCTTCACATATATTTAACATTTAAATTCTTATGGGATTTTTTCTTTTATTCCAGATAATAGCTGTGATGCCTATATCTACCAATCAATAAATTATTTAACGATGCATCCAAGTCAGTCAACATTTCTGGTTGGACGTGTTCTCAGTTTTTCATGTGAACCAGGCTTTACATTAGAAGGTCCTGAAAGCGTATATTGTAGATCATATTACAAATGGAGTGATAAGGCAATACCAAGATGTAGAGGTTGTCCATATCCAGGACATCTCGTTAATGGTTATTATACTGATAGTAAAGGGTTACCATTCAACGACGGAGATAAAGCAGTGAACGAAATATTAACAGCACATTGCGATCAAGGCTTTATGCTACTAGGGAATCATTTCATAGCTTGTAAATTACTTGTTTACTGGCCGATTACTGCTCCAAAATGTGTTGATGCATCATGCCAACCTCCAAACATCAAGTCCAATGGCAAATACGTCTTTCCAAATGGTTCTGACACTTCATCTTATAAATTTCGAATTGGACAGAAGCTTTTGCTTATGTGTAAGAAAGGATATTATTCTTCTTCGGACAAAAATTACATTACATGTAACGTTAGGGGAATAAGGTCCATTGGAATAGATTTTGGATGTAAACTTATAAAATGTGAGAAACCAAAGCATATCGAAAACGGTAGTTATCTAGTTGTAAGTAATTCCGGTAACCATTCGTACGCAGGAAACCCAGTGCCTTATGGTACATCGATCTACGTTTCGTGTCAGGAAGGCTTTTTTAAAGCCGGAAATACCATGTTAGAGTGTACTGAAACGGGGACATGGTCAGGCGAAAAACCTAATTGTACCCAGATCATATGCAAAATTCCCCATTCAATTGCCAATGGTGGATATCAATTAAATCAATCTAGAATTTCTGCACTTACAACCTTTACATATAAAGAAAAGGTATTTGTGCATTGCAATAAAGGTTATGAACTTAGAACAGACCCATATAGAACATGCATAATGGCAAATGTTTGGAGTGGGGAAACTCCCATTTGCGAGAAAATAGTTTGTCCAAAACCTATATCGGCATTAAATTTGACTTATTTGGATGAAAAAGGTATTGTGCGTACGCAAAGTAGGATTGTATACAATGCAAAAATATTTTTTCAATGTCAAATTGGATATAATTTAACAGTTGGGACAGCAACTAGAATGTGTACTGCAACCGGAAACTTGACTGGAATAAATTCTTTATGCGTGCCTGTAGCATGTACAAAGCCAGAGGTCACATCCTGTGGACACTTCATGCAATCAAACACAACACAAATCTTATGGGAAAGAGAATTTTCATATAACTCTACACTGCTTTTTGTGTGTAATTTATTAAAGTATTCTTGCCAAAACAAAACAAGAGAGAACATGTGTTCAGAGGGCGGACCTTGGATTGAAAATATACCTATTTGTGGTAAATATAAACATGATTATTCCTTCTTTGCTCTAGATATTCTGATGAAATGTTTTACATGAATGTAAAATTATTCTTAGTTTTGAAGTGATATTGTAGGACAGGCCATGTTCTTCACACAGTATCATTATGTCAAACTCATTCATTGACTTACTGTTAATTTATCATATACATGTATATCAAAGCGTTCTGAAACTATTCAACTCTACAACAGTCTACCCTCGTTTAAAATAGCGTCAATTCAAGACACAAAAAATTCGCCCCAAACATGACAGAAATGTAAATATAGCAACAATTCAGCCCCAGACATGCATGGTTATTGTGTATCATTTTATAATTATTATATAGAATTATTGTTATTTCTTTTATTGTTTATCTCTCAAAGGGTAAAATATAATGAATTTATCAAATAAAATGGTAAAAGCAGAACTAAATGTTTAAAGCTTTGTGAACCAGATCATTATAGATATGAATATGTAGTGTAGACAATATTTGCATGTGTGTAATAATATTGTCATCCATTATAAATTGATATACTAATACAGAAAGATGTTTCTATTTATTTTCGGTTTTATATAACACACAAATATAAGTATGTGTCAAACAATATGATAGGGTTGAATTGGCTTGGCGTCGGTATGACACCACTGTGAATTTTTGCATTGTCGAATTATTCTAACACTAGTATCCGTTCAAGTTACCAAGCATCTTTATAAAACAATGACTGATACCATTCACAGTTTTCTATTGTTATATTTGAAAGTATAATAAACCTTTTTTACAGAAAAGGTCAAGGAGCAAAACGAACGGCAATACACAACACGTAACACTATGGTGATTGGAATGGTTTCTGGAGTCGTTAGTATTGTCATTGTACTAGCGTGTATTACCACCTTTTTAATTTGTTGGAGAAGGTATAACAATTTAGCATTTTGCTTAAGACTGTAATGTCATAATTGTCTTGTAACTGTTAAATGAAAAGGTTATCAAGTGATAATGTGTATACTATAATATAATTGTTATTCATATATATATATATTTCTTTCTGTTTTTGGAAGACACGAACCTACTTACATTTTGAACAAATTTAGCCATTTTTTGCATGGGAGGGAAGTAATTCAATATCAAATGCATAGGTAAACAATCAACTTTTAGTAATTGATGTATAGCATTGGCGGTGAATTATTTGCCCAAAAGGGTAAATCAAAACAATCGTATTTCACAACAATCAAAAGAACTTCTTCAAATTTCTTTTCGTTTTACATGAAAAGGATTTACAATAAAAGCCATATATTTTGTAACGTAGGCGTATTGCTGCTAGAAGGAGCAAAGATAATTCAAACTATGATAACTTAGCGGTGGACCGTGCGGCACCTGATGCCGACTATGAAGAATTAAATATTGTTAATACAGAAACAGGTATTCAGTTGGAATCTTTGTATTTTATAATTTACAATGTAATATTAATATTATATGAATTACTGAAAATGGAAGAGAAGTAAATATCATGAAAGGAAATAAATCTCAAAATAAAATCACAGTACAAGTAACAAATCCAAAGAAAAAATATTTGATATTGAAAAGTTAAGTTTTTTATGATAGAAAATTCTAATTATATTTTGTTTTATAAACATTTTGATATAATTTTTATGTTTTTTGTCAAAATGAAAATAATAATAATCAAAATGATAGTCCGCTAACATGATAGTTATACTATTACCTATATTACATTACAGGTGCAGTGTCAACTTTGTCATGATGTTTTGCTGCTTATATAACAACACTACGGTTCCTTGTACTTCGTAATAGTAATAACTTCGATTTTCTAGAAATCTCGACCCTGGAAAGATCATCCTGGACTTTAAATATTTCACACGAAAGACAATGCACCTAATAAGAATTTGTACTACTTGTTTATCAAGCAGTTGCCATATCTCTTACAACATTAACATAAACATCCGATTGTATTTCTGTTCCGTTATAAAATATTAATACCATTTAATGTATACTTTTATTGTTTTTTTATATTAAGAGGATATTTTTTCGTTTGAGTGAAATATGGAATATATTTTCAAGAAACATGATAAAATGCCACATATTTTCACGAGCCGGGACTATCATTCTAGATAGTTTTCAAACGAAAGTTCAACAAAACGCTATTTTGTATTTATCAGATGTTTCAAACAAAATGACGAAAGAAGTCGCTTAAAATAAATATGAGTTTTGACTCCGCCCACTTTCATATTTATATTTCAATTTTTTTTTTAAATATAAAATATATTTGACTGATATGGAACTATATTTCATGGGTAATATTAAACATTTTGTAACGATATCAGTACATATTTTGTTGTATTCCAAAATTATATGGCTGCTCTTCCCAGATATACAAAGGAAACTATCTAATATATAATTATTTTAGGATAAAGTGGAGAAAAAAATTATAGATTCTGGAAATATATTGTACGTATACGTGTGAATATACTGATAGTGAAAAAATCTGATTTTTTTTTAAATACACGTGTTACATACAAATGTAAAGTATAATCGGTACGAATGCATTATAGCAGATTTCTATGAAAATTAATAAACAATTTTAAGTAAAAACGTTCGATGTAAAAACGTTCGATGCACCTTTCTATTGAAAACAAGCAATTGATTCAATTGTGTTATATTTAATTTTGATTGACAAACATAAATTTGCTCGTCACATTTAGGTTTAGATATTTATCTTTAAACAATGATTGTTTTCTTCGAATGACACAGAAAAGAATTAATAAGTTTTTTTTATTTACCTTATTACTTTATATAACTCAAAAGGTGTTCAGATATTGTATTTTTATATTTTGTGCATGAATTACGCTAGATATAATCGTGAATTTAAAACAAAGATAAACGGTACCAGTTAGCAATAGGAGTTCAACAACTTGTTGTGATTCAAATATAGTAATAGTTCTGTGTATATATGAAGACTAACAAGAAAGGAATACAAACAGATACACCGAGCAAAACATCGATATTCTTTTAAACTTCAGAAGTAAAACTGTATTGTATAATGGCTGCAGCGCGAACATGTTTCCTTACATATCAATGGAAAAAGGTATAAATGTCATGACATTGATTTATTTTTGATAAAGTGCATGCCTGATTAATCAAGCTTTATGAGTCAACCTCAGCTTTATCATATACCTCATCAACACATATTTAAATAAGACAAATAAAAATAATCAGAATTTTTACCTCTTACTAGTTTGAAAAATTTAAACTAATAAACTTTGATTAGAACAGAATTTATGAATTTTAAAAGTTTCTCTTTTCTTTTTTTACACTAAAACTCAGTGGGTTTCTTGTAGAAATTTCTTCAATTTGCTGTGGTACAATTTGTCAAAAATGTCTCGGGCGTTGTATTCTGTTGACGTTGGCGTTTATTTCCCGAATACGTAAGGAATTTACGTTCTTTGACGCGCATATCACTCCAAAATGCTTGTGAATCTCCATTCCAATACGGTTTATTTCGTGTGAGGCATTTATTTGTTCTTTTAGAAGAATTATAGATAGGTTTGTTCCTGTTCATTTCATCTATAATACTTATAGTTTAATTCTAAGACGAATGTGTACCATCGTAATGGCTCAGGTGGTTAATCAACATCACTACAACTTTTCATGATTTGAACTCATAGGTTCGAACCCTACGCCCTGTCATGTTGTAAGGATGATGTTGTTGTAATTGTTTTTCTCCCTTTTCTATTTAATTTGTCTTTTGTTTGAATATATTTTGTTCTTTAAAAAAAAATCTTTTTATTTTCTAAAGGCCTTCAGTTAGATTTAATTGTGAAATACTAGTACACGCATAGCGACACTCGGTAGCCGACATTTTTAAAAATAGCACTTTGTTGTGGGTTAAACTATCAGGTGTTTAACTTTTAAAGACACTGATTGATACGAGTGCGGCGGAAGCAAGCTAATTGATAATTAAGTTAACTTTATTTACACCAAACGTGAATTCTTGTATTGATTAAACTCTACTCTGATAAGATTGTTGGTTTGTTGTTATCTCTCTCTTGTTATCACCATTACTAACAGTAAAATTGATTATCGATCGTCGGGTGCCCTTAAATCGTCCCTATCCTAGAGTTAACACCCTTACGTTGTATTTAACAGCACATGTTCATTCAGGCGGCGTAACATTCCGATTACAATTACTAGTATCCGAAGTTTTACGGAAATAGCCGAGCAATTTTCATGGATTAAAAAAATAAAAAACTAACAAAAAACAACAACAACAAAAAAAGATAAAAAAAAAAACAAAAACAAAAAAACAGAATTTTAAATTGAGCAACAGTCATACATGTATATATGTTTCCCTGTACTCATCCTTGAACATAAGTTCATTTAATACAATAGAACTCTTACCGTTTTGTACAATTAGCAATAGAAAGAGCATCGAAACACGAGGCTATCTGATTTGTACGAGGGGGCGCAGCCCCCGGGTATTAATCTGATTGCTGAGTGTTTTGATGTTCTTTCTCTTTTGTTTCATAGTCAAACATAAAATGCCCATTGATTGGCTCATTTTTGCTGGGGTTTACTTATTGTGACGGAAGAGAAAGGGAAAGCGACAGAAATATCATATTTAGATGCTCGTTCATTGGTTACTTTTTCCAGGGGTTTCATATTGTGACAACAGGGAACGTGTTTTTATGTTTGTTTGTTTCATTTAACGCCTTTTCAAAACAGTATTTCAGTCATATAGATTAGGAAACTATCCGCCTATATGACTGAAATGCTGTTGGGAAAAGGCGTAAAATGAAACAAACAAACAAACATAAAAACACGTACCCTGCTGGTCACAAAATGAAACCCCGGGAAAAAGTAACCAATGAAAGAGCATCTGATATATCTGTCGCTTTCCCTTTCTCTTCCGTCACAATAAGTGAACCCCAGCAAAAATGAGCCAATCAATGGGCATGCTCTAGAGTGCGGGTAACTAATACTCTCCTACAGCTGCAGTTATTGACCACTGTATGTTCATAGTACAGCTTCACTTGTAGGGTTTAATTCTTTAAAAACAAAATTCTTTATTATTATTCTTTATTATTCCATTATATTTTTGATTATTATTTGTATCAATTTTACAATCTGTGTAAAGGCTTGATCTTCTTATGTTTATGTGTAGTGTAAAGTTATTAAGGGAATGCAATTTGTATGATTTCAAGCATAATTGCATTACTAGAAACGAGAAATATCTGTCGTACATCTCATGACAGACAATTCTTTTCCTTTTAAATTACGTAAAGTGCGGCTTCGCATCTCAACTTAAAATATAAACGATAAAACTAGACCAACATCTTTAAAGTTTCGAGTCCTTTGCACTAGTGATGTTATTCATTGTCAGATGATGTTACACTTATTTGAAAATATATTTGTTTATGTTTATTGGTCATCCATTTTTACCTGGGCAAATATGTTAAAAAAAACTATGAAGACAAGCAAATCTAAACTATGTTTTATTTACTTTTAAAGCATATTTCTTCTTCAAATGAATTCTTCTCTCCCTGCAAAAAGAAACAACCTGCCTATATGACTAAAATACTGTTGGGAAAAGGCGTAAAATAACACAAACAAACAAAGGTTGAGGAAGACAGTGATGTATGATGGTTATGACAGAGTGTTGGCGTAAAAGAAATCAAATGGATTTACGAATGCATATATTGCAGTGGTAATTGCATTAAACTGCCTGCGTTCCCTTACACTGGGCTAAACAGATCACGAAAAAAAAATTTCAATGGCTAAAAACGTTCAAAATGCTACTTTTTCAAAGCTTTTAAAATACATTTCCAAAATGTTACTCATTGGCCGGATTCTTAAGTAATATCTTCCTTATTTTGTCTTTTGTCAATTTTATTGATTATTTTGTATGAGAGTCACAATACCACTTTGCTTTCATTTTACTACCTTTATCACAAACTATTTTCCCTTCAGTTATTCTCTTTTAAGGTGATTTATATCTTGAAGGTTGATAAAATATATTATAACAACATTATAAATCACATTTTTCCCTTTCTACAATAAGAAAACAAATATTCATTTTTTAGGCATTGTGCCCTTGATTAAGAACTTCCAGCCATAGGGCTCTGTGTTTATGTGGCGATGACCATGGAGCTTTCTATGTTTATTTCATACCATTTTCTACAAGGTAAATATTAAATGTTATAGCGACCTTTATGGCTATTTCAAAAGTCGTATTAATAAGGTGCTGTATTATTTGTTAGTTTGTCATAAAACTGGTATCCTTGTTCATAATCACATCAACAGTTTTAAACAGTGGGGTTCTGGTCAGCCTACTCGGCGTTGTCCCCAGAGAACTCGGGGCTTTATGAACTGTCAGGGAATACACTCGGTTTATATGGGATAGTTTTCATATCATGGTTTTCAGTTTTCTTATATTCCATTAATATGACTAAAAACTCGACAACTATTTATTCCTTCTTTTAACTTATATTATAAAACAACAAGGAAAAGTAATGGTTAAAACTTTTGTGAAATTTTTATTTCTTCATCTCTGACAGAATTCTCTTAACCAATACATATCCTATATCAATAGGCTTAGCATTCACCTGTATGGTATTGAAGACAGTTGAGCTATACATTTTGAATGATACATTTTCATAATTTCTGAAATTGTGTTTAGTGTGACTAAAATTATAAATCAATATATAGTCATAATTCTTGATCCATCTATAAATAAGATATACACGAAACGCTAAGAGAGAGAGAAATAAATATTATGTATAATTATATGCAATTATACATATTCGCGTCTACTCCAAACTAAAGTTGAAGCAGAATCCATTATAAGAATAGATTTCATCAGTCTGGAAGGTTACTGAAAGCTCATTGGTTGAGGACACGAGTGTCTGCGGCATAATTATTTGGTAATGTTCTCCCGTCAATATACCAAGACAAGTTTGTAGTCCTGTATAATTTAAAAGGAGAAAATATCAAAATGAAATGCAGTGTAAACAGTGTTTATTTTCCTTCCGAGCTAATAAAAAATCCCCGGTTTGTAGCATGTCAAAAATCTGGCGGTTAATTCATTTTTTAAGTAAAAAAAGTAGAATTGTTACATTTCATTGATGTTCAAAACAAACACGGATAGCTTTCAATTCAAAAGAAGCATACACTAATTATGAGCCTGTATTTGATTTGATAAGTTGTATTTGATAAATTAAAAAAAAATCAGAATTTGAAATAGGAAAACAGTTATACATGATTATTCCATATACTAATATTTTCCCCTGCCCATTTTAAAAGCGTTTATCCTTTATGTCTAAAATATACGCGGCCTTGAATTAACGAATTGACACAAACAAATTCGTACGAACGTATATCAGATAAAGCTGAATATTACCGTCGTCCTGTACAAACACATAATCATAATCTTTTTCAACGTCGAAGTCCCAGAAGAACACCTCAATCGTTTGTCCAGCAGATGCAGCTATTTTCCACTGTATGTTAAGGTCATAATCGTAGCCACTAGTATTATATCCCGGTGAGCAAATCGTAGTAGGTGTACTTGTAGCCATAAGATCTTTGAAATTACAAAGTGCTTTATTTATTCCATTGTGTGTTTATTGTTTTTTGTATCAAAACTATTTACAGTCAGACTAAAGGTAAGATCTTCTTAGTTCAACATGTAGCGAAGCGTTATTGAGTAGCTGATATTTTAATCAAATTGCAATTTTCAATGATTTCAAAGGGACTATTTACGAAATGAAATGTCTTCCAAGGGAGGTAAATAGCACATCTCGTAACATACAATTAGTACACAATTGCTTCCCTTATATCAAAAGGAAATATTGAAATAGTAATATAATGCTACTCCCCTCCCCTTCCACCACATCACATCTAAACTTAACAATATAAATGATAGAACTATACCATTTTCTTTAAAGTTTCCAGCCCTTAGTCGTGGTAATGTTATTATTTTCAAGCTGTAATAATTGCCTGAACAAGTATGTTCAAAATGTATAAAGACAACCATATCTCAACTTAGATATTATGATTTCTTTTTTAAGTTTTCATGAATCAAATATAATTTAATTTTATCATACAAAAGTATATTGTAAATAACTTGTTTAACATACTTACCAGATTAGTTGATAGAAATTTTAGTTAGATTGTATTGGAAGCTATGACCGTATTGAAACACTCTCGAACCAACCAGTACTGATCAATCACTTACCAGTAATATTTGTTGAGTCATCTCCGCCACAGGTACACTTATAACCATCATCTACATTAATACAATCTTCTTTATCGCCGCAAGGGGAGGGGTTGCATCTATCAATTACTTAAAATAATACAGTTTCATATTTCAATATTGAGACGAATTTCAAAACACAATATTCTAGTAAAAAGGTTATATTACGTAATATAAAGTCGCTGATATGAAAACAATAAACGATTAAAAAAGCTCAAAGGAAGCGACATAGAAGCGACAATAGCCGTTTTAAAAGACGTTTAATTGCTCTTTTTTGCGTCTGATAAAATGCGTCGTTGTGCCCTTTGAAGTTGATCGGTTACCTTTAACAGTTTAACGACTAAATGGGTTTGAACGACTGAATACCTGGGGTTGTTTGAATTTTTAACACCCGAGGTTAATCAAAATCAACTCTGCTGTTTCGGCGACATATGACCTATACTGTGTTGGTGCGCCGTGATTAACCAACCAACAAATAAAAACTCAGTCGTTTCGTCGGCACTCTTGTTTAACGATTAAATGATTGGTTAGTTAAACGCTGTTGAAGACGGTTTATGCTTAATTGATTGTCAAAATGTTTCAAATTGAGACTTCTCATTTTACGAAAAAGAGGACAAATACAAAATATACTTACATAGTAATTCTGATAGTTCTAGCATTTCTTTATTAACTCTAATATTTGAAATAAACTTGTCTATGTTACCATCTCGTTAAGTCCATTCAATATTTTATCCAAAATTTTCATATGGCCACAAAACTTGACCCTTTAAATTTCATTACTAATTTGTCTACTGTTTGTAGTTAAAAGGTTACAATACGGTCATTTAACATCAGCAAAACATTGTGATTATAGTTTAGTCACTTCAATATACATTTACATCTCCACAAGTAAAAGGCATATCAAAATTCTAAAATAAACTCTTTGCATGAGACATTTTCTTTCGATTTGTAAAGCTAGTTGGTATCATATAAGGTTGTATTATATCGACAATAATCTTTTGATGACATTTTTCTTAAGAGATTAATGTATGCACTACAAATTTTCAAGAAATACCACAGTGACCTCCTAGGCTACGCTTAGGCTATTATTTTAATATATGTATTGCTGCTCGTATTGCTATGAATTTACCATTTTCACAATGATCTCCTGTGTACCCTGGACTACATTGGCAGATGTACCCATTCACTTGATCGATGCAGGTACTATTGTTATTACACGGTATAGGTATGCAATCGTCTATATCTAAATAATAAAAACAAGTGTCACAATCATGTATAGAAATGCATATAAAATGACTTTAAACAAGACACTCTTAGGCTATCATCTTAATATATGTATTACTGCTCGTATTTCTATGAATTTACCATTTTCACAATGATCTCCTGTGTACCCTGGTAAACATTGACAGATGTATCCATTCACTTGATCGATGCAGGTACCATTGTTATTACACGGTATAGGTATGCAATCATCTATATCTAAATAATAAAAACAAGTGTCACCATCAATGATCATGGATAGATAGATGCTTATAGAATAATTTAAAACAAGACACGATTAACTTATCATTTCATTGTATGTATTACTGCTCGTATTTCTATGAAATTACGTTATCATTTAAATATATAGACAAAAACAAACTGATTTTTCACGGATATAATTGATTAAGTATACGAGTCAATACATTCATCTTTCAGGGGACTTTAATTTAAAGTATTTAAATGGTAGCATTCACTTCTCACTAAAGAAAGTTTGTCTATGCAACAAATGGTGGCGTCAAGAATTTCTGAAATTATTACATATCAGTTCTGTACAAACAATGGGCAGCTTCTTAGAGATTTTGCTATGCATTTTGCGTTGAAGTTATCATGCATTACGTAGAATTATCATGCATTTTGTATTATTATCATCATACCACACGCAAATGTTATATGTTACAAGCAAAGTATATCAAAATTATTTACTTGTTTCGCAAAACTCCCCAGTAAATCCAGACCCAGAGCAATTGCAGAACATGTTTCTATGGTGAAAATAGCATTGGCTATACGTCATACAACCACCTGAAACAATGTGACATCACTAGAAAGTGTAAAAAAGCCAATAGTTGTAAGTGATCTACTTCTAAAACATCGAATTGCATTAAATACGTTTATGCACACAATAATCGCCCTTTGTTGTTGCACAATTTAATTCGAGATGTGCATCTTGTAACATTGAATGTTACATGATAACTTCCGGGCAAATCTCCAGATGTGGCTCAGTTCAAACTTTGACCATTGAAAATTTTTAATGTTGAATTCCACTTTAGTCTTTGAACCTTCAGCCGGGGTTTTGATTTTGCATTTCCTTCTTTATGTTGAGCATTTGGACGAGCATAAAAAATTAAATTAGATTATCTTATTTTTGACATTGTGCTATATAATAATTTAATTTAAAAAAACAACGTGATTGCTAGTATCTGGACATCAACTAAATTAAATAAGACATAGACGGACTTTACATTTATAACCAGCGTAAACGATAAATAAAAATAAACATAGTAAATTCCCCAAAATGCTTTAAACGTTGTGAAACTGAATGGCAGATCGACACGGGGTCATATTTCAGTGTATTTTGGTTGTATTGAAATTAACTACTCACACTCATAGCATCTCTTATTCGATTTACTGTTAGCGTGTCCAAATCCAGGAAGTAAGCATGCATACCCATCTGGACACTGGTATGTAATAAATATTTTTATTAAACGATTTTTTAAATAAATTAAAACTGGCATTTCAGTTGTGTAGGAATGACCATGAATTTAATTTATTTATCAACAAAAGCATATATATTAAGCATTAATAGAACATTTCGGATTTGAAGTTTAAATTGTAATATGTACACGCAATATGCATAAAAATGCCTCATGTCATAAGATATTAACAACATTATATGAGCCGCGTCATGACAAAACCAACATAATTGGTTTGCGACAAGCATGGATCCAGACCAGCCGCGCAGTCTGATCAGGATCCATGCTGTTCGCTTACAAACTCTATAGCAAGTAGAGAAACTGATTGCGAACAGCATGGATCCTGATCAGATTGTGCGGATGCGCAGGCTGGTCTGGGTCCATGCTGGTCGCAAACCCACTATGTTGTTTTTGTCGTGACGCGCTCAATTTTTGTTCAATGTTTTACCTCACTACGATCATTACATCTAACTATTCCCTTGCCTTTCCCATGCGACGGACGTTTAAACGTCTTCGTAGATTCATGTTTGTTTGTTTCCTTCCTTTGAACCCCTTTCGTCGACTTAGAGGAAGATGTTTTCAAAAACAGGAATACCAAGAAGAACAGCTAGAAAAAACATTGTTGAATGTGTAGATAACATTTGAATGTTAAAAATATTCGAACACTTTTGTATGTATAATTAAGAAAATAAAAAGAAATGAAAATTTTTTTTCTCACCAAAAAAGTGATCGTAAATTTTCCCATTGTTCTTCAGTCACTATGTTAACTCTCCTATCCAAAATAAAACAGCCCTGAAGAAAACAACAAAATTTGACCTTAGATTATTAGTTAATGTCCTCATATTGAATCGTAATGGTAGCATTTCTGAAGCCTTAACGCTAACAACTTTTAAGATCAAAGCCTATCAAATGGTGAACGTAAACCGATTTACTAAATCTTTAGGTTTCATGATTATGCTACAATTCAGCAATCGTACTCCTTGTTGTTAAGATATTTTAATCATTTGCATATACAAGTTCTTTTGTAAATATGTTTAATTCATTTGTAAATGCAAAATTAAAGAGACAGTTTTACATATATATTCAAAAGTACGGTTAATAGATCAATAATCTAATACACTTTTCTTTTTTAGAATCTGCACACCTAGGAAAGAAGTTAAACATAGGTAAACATAAAATAGGTAATTATAGATACAGATTTAACAACAATTCTCTTACAACAAAAATCGTTGTTGAAAAGACGTCCTTTTTCAAATATGAAGTAAGATACCAAAATAAAAAAGATATGCTACATAGAAAGAAAATACAACTTCTTACCTTCAATAAAGCAAGATATCAACCAATTCACGACTGATACACAAGGCATAAGTTTCAGTATTTATGCAAAATAAATTATCTGTTTTTTAAATGACATTTTCTAATGACATTTCCTGTGTTCAAATGGATGTTAATTAACACTTGCAAAACGATGTATACCTTTTCTTAACAGGGTGAATGCGCTGTGGTGTCACTTTGACCGTTTCAAGCTGATGCATAAATTAATCGGGATCTTGTACAAACCAGTGCAGCTGTATTTGAAAACTCAAGCATATATGGTGAAACAAAGAATAAAATTAAAATGGTCGAAACATTGATCTTTTTTCTAAGACTGACACTTACACAATATGAGCATTTTACATACTTATAGAGCAAAAATGACTGGTATTAATTTCCACAGACCGACCGCTCAATTGAATGACTCTTGAAAGGTAATGAAAACTATATACTAGTACTAGTATACAGGTATTTTTTTTTTCTCTCTGAATAATAGTTTATTGTGAGGTTTTGGCAACATTAGTACATGTTTTATAAAGGCTTCAGATTGTTTCAAGACTCCGCATAAAAATAAAACTTGTATTTTTTACCGATGTATAAACTCAATTTGCTAGTCAGGTATACTTTACCTATCCTTTTAATGCGGTGGATTATTAGACGCATGTAGAAACCGGCGATCATGTTTGATATTATGTTTGATTACAGTTAAATATTACATCTATGGTAGGAGAAGGACTTAAAATCTGAAAATAAAAGCAAATCAATTATTGAACAATTAAGGACCACAATTATTTTTTATAATCTTAAAAAATTCAAACATATAATCACATTGCTCAATTACATGAACTATACGAAATATACAAATGTTGACATCTTAAAAAGCAACCTTACAATTTCTAAAAAATGAGAAATAATCCCGATGAATTAGCGATTCTTTAATTAAGCGTTGCTATTTTATGATAAATATATCATGAATGATATTTGAAATTACAAATTTAAATAACATGTATTTGACTGTTTATATCTTATGAAACCTATTCTATTTTATTAATCTATTTAATTATAAACAATTTATCTTTGTTCTTTGTAAGAATCACGTGACTACATGGTTTATGTTATTGTTATGAAATCAATTTAAAGTAACATATTGGTGATAAGACATACAGGTAACTAGTGAATGATATGGCGGCTGATAATAGTAAGTTTGTATAAATAGTTTCAAAGCTGTTTTTCATTAATCAGTTTCATATTTTATATCATTTGACATGTTTGAATACTTATATTTTACACATTGAAAAATTTTTTTTTAAACCTTTTAAATTTTTCTTGGTAAAGGGTTAAACTTGGCCCTTTCTGTCAAACTTCTGACAAGAACGTTCAAAAGTTTAAAAGGCACGTTTATTTAAATAAATAGTGGTAATTGTCGTCCGTCGATTTCCGTCGCGCAGGTTTCCAAAACGGAATGACGGTAGGGTGACAGTCCTTGGATCCGAAATCGTATTAGATCATAGAAAAAAAATCTTTGTGTTGATATTTTATCCCACTGAAAGGCAATTAAACGTTAACTATATCGTATGTTACGACGGGAATATTGATTTCAACTGAATCATATATTTTTTCGATAATGCATAAAAATATTTTTTATGCATGCACTTTGCACTTTACGGAATAATTGCATTGTTTATGCAATGATTAAAACATGTATATTTTATAGTCATTTTGCAAATATTCGATGCCCGGTAATTATTTGTCGGTAAATATAGGACTCTGAAGTAAACCATACGGATTTCGATTTATGGTACAACGGTATATTTATAAGCTAGAATTACAAGTTGAATTACAAGCTTACAAAATAAATCAAAATAATGAAATTAAAAAAAAGGATAGAATGAAATACATGATATATCAACTTATGTTTGATATTGTTAAAAGAAATAATAAAAAAATATATACATGAAAACTACAAAAAGGAATTGTCCAAGACTCGAACTTGCGACCTCTACGCCACAACTTCGTCATGCTTACCACTAGGCCATCGGGCAGTGTTAATTGATTTTAATATCGAGATTTATAATATCAATAAAATCTTTAACATTTATCATAATAATTTACGGACACTAACGAAACACCTCCGAAAAGTAATGAGTCTCAGGTCAATATTGCAAAACAATACTTGCTTTTCAATAATGATAGCAGTTTCTTGACAATATTGCTAAGCAAGTTTGCTTCAGATATGATGTTTTAATGTGAATGAATAGTCACTCAACATATTGTTCCTCTTACAATTAACCAAACTGATATTTTCTTATATTTAGGAAAATACAATAATTTTTCTAACCGGCGACGCTGGCTCTTGTTGCTGGGTCATCATGCACTCCTGTTATATAAGTTATTTTCATAATCATATCTTTACAGCGGGTGATCAGAATTCATTTTTCATCGATTCTGAATAAGTTTCTTGACATTTTGCAGCATATGTTGTTTAACTTCAAATACATCGACCGGAGTATGTTACTTGTTTTTTGCTTTTTCTGGGAAGTGCGCAGCATACGTTGTTCACCTCCAAGTGGATCAACATGAGTGTAGTTGTGTTTTTCTTTTTCTGGGAAGAGCGCAACATACGTTGTTTTCCTCCAAGTGGATCAATTGACATGATTGTGTTTTGCTTTTTCTGGGAAGTGCGCAGCATAAGATGTTTATTGGAAAATACATAATGTGCATGCAATACAAAAATTTCATGCATTGAATATCATATGTGTGCAATTGCGACTCACAAAACAAGCTACCATGTTTTATACATATACATTCACATCGAAAAGGAGCTCCACTGAGCTAAAAGGCATAAACCATATAACTTGAAGTTTTACACAGATATATTGACGCAACCAAAATCTCAACAAAATCCTGAAGAAATACACTCATAATTAAATAGAAAATCATTAGTTAGAGCTCCGCTTTTAATTTTGTGATCATTTGATCATAAATCTTTACTCTGGAAAAACGTGATGGTCTGAAAAATAGAGCTCAAACTAATACCAAGAAGTAAACAAATTTCCGAAAACTATTGCCAGTCCCACCCATCATATAAAAAACTCAGTGGAGTTCTTGACTATGACAGAACTGACTCATAAACCATAACACAAAAATGATATTCTTGATTTTATTGTTAGTATATGGCTTCCATTAGTTAGAGATTTATTAAGGCCATATGGATAATATAAAGATTCACTGTGATATTATACATATTATATAAACCAGGCATCTGACTAGAAACGTCAATTGTTAAACTTGACGAACAAATACTAAACATCATTATATAAACACACAATACAAATAACATATTACAGCTATATGATGCAACATCGGGAAAAACTGAGATGTCCATTAAATATTACAATGCAATGATGACACACCGGCAAGTGCGAATAGTTAGGTCATATTCTTCTCATCATCATAAGTTTCTGTTTGATAATTAACGTATAATTAAAAATATCTTTTGCGTTCTTCAATCTCACTTCTAAAGGCCAAGGAGACAGTGAAACCAGCAATTACATATAAGCATTTCTTTTATATCAAGATAAACATGCAAATTACCAGTGACATGTGTCTCGCAGTCTCGTAAGCACTTTTAGCAAAGAGAGGAACTAATTTGTTCCAGCTGACTTTTACAGAGAGATATATAACAGAGTATATGCATGGATCATATTGAACATTCGTGCTATTTTTGCATATTTGTTATTTATCAATACTATTCATAACTATGACACTGCAGTAAACGAACCTTACAAGAACATTTTAGTTTGAATTTTAGTCACACTAACATTGTTACGGAAATATCTTATGATGAAGTGAACCTAAGGTACATTATATATTAAGCACTAGCGGGCACCTTTGTTGGACCAACGACGTTTCGTAAGTTAGAAAGATAGCTACCACACATGAAAGAATCCAAAGTCCCTGACAAGATTTCGGCCCTCAACACTAAGGGACAAGTTGTGTGAAGTCAAAACAACTCTTTACCACCCGGTCATAAGGTACTTGACTTCAAGATGAAGGTAATGGGTTCGAACTTCAAATATCTTTGATATTTTCCGTAAGGTTTAGGACCTTGGTCATTGATTAATTTTTTTGTGCATGTTAATCACTCTAGAGCGACTTTATCAAAGTGATAAGGCATAACATATTTGTCAAAACTTAGAAAAAATAGACGCCAGATACTAAACAAAACATAAACTAGAAATGTGTTCATAGGACACGGATGCCCCAACACGCCACTGTTCTGTCAATCTTATGACTCTAGGTCAAATATCTTTTGGACTACATGTGCCACAAGTTGAAAACTAAAAATCAACAAAGGGCTATAATTCTGTTAAATTTGGTCGCAGCAAAAATTCCTTCCTTTACTACCATCTACACATTAAGGTTGTTCATCCCTGTAAGTTTAAGCAAAATCTGCCATCCAGTTTAAGAGTTGCGTTCACAAAATTTCTACATAGTATCTAGTGAAAAAATTAACAAAGGGCCATAATTCTGTTAAATTTGGTCGCAGCAAAAATTCCTTCCTTTACTATCATTTACACATTAAGGTTGTTCATCCCTGTAAGTTTAAGCAAAATCTGCCTTCCAGTTTAAGAGGAGTTGCGTCACAAAATTTCTACATAGTATCTAGTGAAAAATTCAACAAAGGGCCATAATTCTGTTAAATTTGGTCGCAGCAAAAATTCCTTCCTTTCCTACCATCTACACATTAAGGTTGTTCATCACTGTAAGTTTAAGCAAAATCTGCCATCCAGTTTAAGAGGAGTTGCGTTCACAAAATTTCTACATAGTATATAGTGAAAAAATCAACAAAGGGCCATAATTCTGTTAAATTTGGTCGCAGCAAAAATTCCTTCCTTTACTATCATTTACACATTAAAGTTGTTCATCCCTGTAAGTTTAAGCAAAATCTGCCATCCAGTTTAAGAGGAGTTGCGTCACAAAATTTCTACATAGTATCTAGTGAAAAATTCAACAAAGGGCCATAATTCTGTTAAATTTGGTCGCAGCAAAAATTCCTTCCTTTACTACCATCTACACATTAAGGTTGTTCATCACTGTAAGTTTAAGCAAAATATGTCATCCGGTTTAAGAGGAGTTGCGTTCA